AATAAGTGCATTTGTCCTTGAATTGAGGAGATAAAAGAGACATTTTGCCAATGGAAGAAGACAATCACATTAAAAATTAGAAAACACAGTTGCATTGCCTTATTTGAAGTGCATTTTGTCTTATTTTAAGAGTAAAAACACTAATTCCATTAGCAAACTCATTAACCCACCCAAATTAAGAATGCTTTAAGACGTTTTTATAGTTTTGCCAGTGCAGGCATCAATATTTTAGATCATCATCCGATTTTAATGAGACAAAGACAACCTGCAATGCAAAAAATTGAAATCTAAGTAAGTTAATTTTTCTTTAAAAAACAACATTTCTTTCTTGAATTAAGCAGCTAAGTGATACACTTTGCCAATGGAATAAGGCAATTTACATCTAAAATAAGAAAAAACAACTGCGTTGTCTTATTCCAAGTGGATATTATCTAATTATCTTATTATAAGAGTAAAAATACTCCTTCCATTGGCAAATCCTATTATTTACTTGCTTGAATTATGCTAAATACACTAATTTTAAGACATTTTTACTCGTTTCCAGATCGTTTTTTGCAGTGTGAGGGAGAAAAGGTTTATTTCAAAGGATGAACCTGTTTATTATTAGCAGAAAACTTTGTAAACCAACCGGACCCCCCGAGAATAACAAAAAAACTCTTTCCTTCTCAGAGGGATTCAGCCACTGGATAGAAACAACATCTGTCAGATTTAAGACCAGACTTTGACTAGACCGCTCCAACACCTGTATGCACTTCAGCTTAGGAATAACCAATGGATCATTATTTATACCTAAAACTAATACATTTGCGGTGATTTAATGGTGTAACGACACAATAGGCAATAAGCAACATTATCTGGGTGGGCCCGAATGAACCACAACACCCCATCACATTTTCTGTTCTTCCAGCAGCTCTTCTTTCCTTTTACTTTTCTAAAATCCGCTTAAATACCTCCTTTTGGTATCCATGGTCGCTAACGCATTGTACGTAACGGTTATGGTTCTAATCTATGCTCTGGATTACTCATAATTCCAAGTCGTAGTGTAAAAAATAAAATACTCAAATACATCATTCTCTTAAGATCTTTATTGCGGTTCAAAACATATATGAGTCTATTTTTTACCAACCGTCTAATGAACTATAAACAGTTATTAACATAGTAATTAAAAACTACCACTTCCTGCTTTGGTGTCGTGTTTAAACGGCTCACCATCATGGTGAAATCTGCCAGGTGTTGCAGTATAAATACAGTCCGGTTAAAGAGGAATTTTTCGCACTATTAAGTGCAAAGAGACGTCCTCGTCCACAATTGTGTCAACATAGTCTCATTATCAGTTCGTATGAAATTGTACGAAAAGTTATGCACAGTATTTTGTACGTTTTGGACGTTTTTCCTCGAAAATACAGATCAGTGCGCATGTGCAGCCAGACAGACGAAAAAAGCAGATCGGCGGACGGATGTAAAACTGGGAAAAACAGTGCAATAATTACTTCTTCAGGTCTCTAACTAGGTTGCTTAATTTTTTTATCTTAGGGTCAGGGTTAATTGTATGTTAAATTCGATGTTATTTAATGGTGCGTAAGATGCGCATGCGCAAGGATATCTTGTCTCGAGGCAAGACGTAAACATACGACGAAATGCGACGAAAAAAAGTCTAAAACGTACTAAATTACGGTGCATAACTTTTTGTACGATTTCATACGAACTAATAATGAGAATACGCTGATTGTGTAGGGGGCCCATCAGGTGTCAGTCGTGGGGCCCCTAAGAGGTCCGGGGCCCCTAAAGAAACTGCAGTGTCTGGTCACCGATAGTTACGC